CATGCAGTGGACTCTTTGATCAACTACGAGACGGTAAAGTACTTCAATAACGAAAAATTCGAGTCGGACCAGTATCAGAAGATGCTTCGCAAGTACACTGATGCCTCCATAAAAACCACCACTAGTCTGGCGTTTTTGAACTTTGGACAGAACGCAATATTCTCCGCCTCCCTGGCTGCCATCATGATGTTGGCCACTCAGGGCATTGTTGCCGGCACAATGACCGTCGGTGATCTGGTCATGGTCAATGGACTGCTCTTTCAGCTCTCTCTACCACTCAACTTTCTCGGCTCTGTCTACCGGGAGATTCGTCAATCCCTAATTGACATGCAGGCCATGTTTAGTCTTCTTCAGCTGAAGAGTTCTGTGGTCAATAAGCCGAACGCTGCGCCGCTTTTTATCTCGTACAAAGATGCTTTTATCAAATTCGAAGACGTTCACTTCAAGTACAACTCCACTTCGCCAATTCTTCAGGGTCTCAACTTTGAAGTTCCTACCGGTCAAAAGATTGCCATTGTCGGTGGATCAGGCTCTGGGAAGAGTACTATTGTCCGGCTGCTCTATCGTTTCTTTGACCCTGAACAAGGCCGCATTTTAGTGAACGGAAAGGATATTCGAGACTTTGACTTGGACAGCCTCAGGCGAGCCGTCTCAATTGTACCTCAGGATACCGTTCTCTTCAACAACACCATCTTCTACAACATTCACTACGGTGACTTTAACAAGACGAAAGAAGAAGTGTACAATGTCGCCAAAATGTCTCGCCTTCACAATTCAATCACCAGCTGGCAGGATGGCTATGACACGCACGTCGGAGAGCGTGGTCTTAAGCTGAGTGGTGGCGAGAAGCAGCGCGTGGCTATTGCTCGGGCCATTCTCAAAAACTCGCCCATTTTAGTTTTTGACGAAGCCACCTCTTCGCTAGATTCAATCACCGAACAGCGCATCATGGATGCACTGAAGGCAGCATCGGAAAATCGAACCTCTGTTTTCATTGCCCACAGACTCTCTACTGTGGTGGATGCCGACCAGATCTTTGTGATGAAGGGAGGCAAAGCAGTGGAACATGGTGATCACTACTCTCTGGTCAGCAATCCGAACACACTGTACTCGAAACTGTGGCTAAAGCAGCACCATCACGATCGTGAACTGCAAAACCAAGCGAGTGGAACTAGTGCCAAGTCCAGCGAGTAGAGTAGAACTTTAGGAACGCATCCTCAATCTATCTATTTTGAATCAATCGCACCTGATGCGGCGGCGGATAATAAAGTGCTGCAGTAGTCACTAAACGGTATATTTCTTTTGCTATATTACATTTGTTCAGTTAGATTCTGCTGACTGATTAGCTGTGGCTGGTTCCAATGAGCTGGCACAAAAAGTTTTTGCCCAGAGGTGCAAGTGACACAGTGCCACCGAAGAGTGAGAGAGTCATTAGCCGTCAGTTTTGAATCGCTTGGTGTGCTTTTGCACGATCGTCCATTGCATCATCTTGATCATTATCATCATCTGTCGCTGACATGGCACTTTCCGGACAGTGCAAAGCAAGGTACAGCCAGCCAATCTCTCTTGTACATTGATGCTGGGTGGCGTGAGTAGCAGAGTTGCCGGATAAGTGTGTGCTCTGTGAGAATAGTAAGCATAGAGCATAGTGTGCAGTACTTTGGCAATAAAATGGCTTTATTGAAAGATAGAAAAATATTACATAAGTACTGTATGTGCAGTGGAAGAAGAGAGGTGTCTGAAAATTTCAAGTCGAGCAAGTTTTATGGTACAGTTGAGTGAAGGAGAGAAAAAGTCGACTCGATTTGTTTGTTTGCTTTTTTGGTTAAGTGGTCGAATCCTAACTTATCTAGCTGATAGTTGCCACTGAATAGAGGGTCGAGATCGAAAGGTCGATTGCGATTAGCTCGTCCTTGTGTGTGTATGTGTGTTTGCTACTGCGCTATGTGGGTGTGGGTGTTTGTGTGTGATTACTCGATCTCTATCGGTGTTAGTGACCACTCATGACGCCATTGATGGGAGCAATGGGCTTCTCCAGACTCTGAGTCTTGAGGATGGGCTGCTTTAGCTCCTCGTACCACTGGCTACGGTCGGAGCACTTGAAGTAGAAGTCCAGGTTGTTGTTCGGCGGCAGGGCGATGAACGCCCGCAGCATGTTCTCAATGCAGGAGCGCTGCTTGAAAAGGGCATTCACCACGTTCGCACCTCGCTCCACCAGCGGGGCCTTGCACAGGTACGACAGCACCGAGAGCACCGAATTGAATGGCTGAAAGTCCGTCTCGGCGTCTAAAGGGAGAAAGAGCAAAGTGTGGTTAGCAAACTGGGCATGACTGAGCAGTGGGCGCATCGGGACTTACTGGCATTGTTCACGCGGAAGGTCACTCGAGTGCAGAGCTCAGCGAGAATGGCCAAGTCGATGATGATGGGCGAGGCGAGCAGTGAGTCTTCACAGGTGTTGTGCACGACGATGGTGTTTCGGCCGCCGAGCATCAGCTCGCTGATGTACTCATCGAGGGCTCGCTTTGAGTCGCCCACATAGGGGACGTACTTGATGACCACGGTGTGGTCGGGGTGGGACTGGCCCTGGCCGTACAGCACCTGGTTCGAGTTGACCATGTCATCGACGACGTTTGACTTTGAGATTTCCTTGCTGCGGAACTGCTGCGGCGCCGACAGATTGTAGCCGTCATTGTTGCCCAGGTGGTTGTAGCTGACAATGGAGCAGGGCTTAATGCCCGCACTGACCAGGAAGTCAACGAGCACTGACTTGAACTTGGTCTGGCCAGACTTGAAGTCATCACCGGAGATGAAGACCTTCTCGCGCTCAGCCAGCTCCAGCAGACCGGGAACAAAGGTGTTCTGCGGCGAGCCATTGATGTAAGTAGTCTGTGGTGGGCAAGTGAAAGAGACAGTTAGTTAGTGTCAATGTACCGCTGACAGTTGCACAGTGGCAAACATGCTTGCCGGCTGTTGGCGCAGTAGTAGCGGCGGACAGCTGTGAGTGAGAGAGGCCTACCTTCTCTAAGATAGAGGCGACAGCATAGAGAGCCGATGGCGCCAGTTCAGGTTCATTGCGCTTTATGGCTGCCAGCAAGTTATCAGCAGTGTCGTGGACGCCCTCCACCACACTGGAGAAGCGCTCAGTGTTGGCCGTCCAGAGGACGATGACCGTGTCCAGCTTCTCCTTGGCCTTGAAGTCTCGAATGTCAGCCCTGATCTGCTCCACCTGAGCCCACTTGTCCTCAATCGTCAACACATTGTCGGCACGGTCGCTCTGGTTGGCCGCGATGAAGTCAGGGTTGTAGATGGCCTTCCGGGGCACGAACTGCTCCATGTGCGGACGCAGCTGCTCCTGAAGGCCAATGTCAAGGACCTTGGCGCGCTCCATCGCATCGGCGAGGTTCATTGAGCTGATGTCCCAGCCGTCCAGGACCAGGTCATTGGGATTGACCATGGGCACAACGTCCTTCATGGGAATGAAGACCTCCTTGCCGTTGGAGTCATTGCCCAGAAGGACCGTACTGGACTGGGTCACACTGCCAAAGTAGTTAGCCTTGACAATGCCCTCCTTTGTACGGAACTGCATGCCCTTGCGGTTGGCGATGATGGCGCCGGTGACGGTGGTGCCGTTGTTGCCACCCCAGCCCACCAGCATCAGTCCCGTTCGGGGAACCTTGCGCTCGGTGCGGAAGGTGATCACCGACTTCATTGGGTAGGCCTGCAAATGGAGTGGTGGAAAGCATGGTAATTAGTCGTTCATTGACACCTGACATTGGGCGCAACTTGGCCATTAGGTCAGTGGTAACAAGTCAGCACTGAGCGATTGCTGCCTACCTTGATGCTGTTGGTCTTCTCGTCCTTGACACAGCGTACATTCTCGTACTCGTAGTCGGCTTCGATCAGTGACTCACTGTAGCGAATGTTTGGACTTTGCACGTTAACGGTAGCCATTTCTGAGAGGAATGCGTGAACTTGAAAGCGGATAAACGGATTGACAATTTAACTGGAGAGAGAGTGTGAGAGAGTGAGAGCAAAAGAGTGACTGTGGCAGTCGGAGGTGATGATCGGTCGAGTGTTGGTTCTCGGTTGGTTTGGTGCTGTCTGGCGTTTGGTGATTGCTCGGATCGTCCGGCATGCTCTTTTATACCGACGCGGACGCTGTTTCAAGACGCACACTCCGCCTTCGCCCAACGTACGTCACCAGGCACGAAGACTACAGCGGCGGCGGCAAGAGCAGCAGAAGTAGCAGTAGCAGTGTTGGTCGTGGTGGTGGTGGTGGTGCAGCACTTCTCCTCAGCACTGTCACTTGCCCAATGCATCCCCTGCTCTCCCCACTGCTCATCCACATTTATCTGGCCACCTTATCGCCGTCGTACTTCGTGGTCATCTTCCCTTCTCTTACCTCATTTCTTCTGTGAGAGCGGTGCTCTCTTTGCTACTTGTTGTTGATCATCATGTTGGCCTCTTCCAATTCCGCCGATCAGTATCGGCAGCGGGTGTTGATGCTTCTGCTGGTGACAGTTTGTGTGAGACATCTTCGAGAATGCTCTTGCTGCCAAGGGGAGAGAGAGAGAGGGAGCGAGAGAGCGAGCATGGCAGTAGAGGAGCCGGCGAGAAAGAGCTACTGCGACTGCGAGCAAAACAGCAGCACTCTGGCAGCAGATCGAGCCGCCTTCCATTCCAGAAGATTCATACACCTGCCTGGTGCACGCGCAGACACGATGGCTCCCACCATGCTGACAGTTCACCGGTGCACCGGTGAAGCAACAGTAGCAACTGTGCAACATCAGCTGCACACTTGGCACCCCTCCCACAGAGTACATCCGCTTTTGTCTGGTGGTTTTTCCTTGCCCCACCACCTATCAGCACTCTGATAAGAGACAGCTGAAGAGGTAGGTAGAGGTGGCAGGGGCTCTTATCGAGAGAACTGTTTGTCACTTTGTCTGTCTGTCTGTCTGCAGTATTTCGTAAGCGAACTAGATGTGCATTGCCACTGATGAATGACTTCAAATGGCTTTCCCTCCCAATTTCTCGAGATTTCTGCAGTGTACACAGCTTTAGATGATGATCACATGACTGTACAGTAATTCTTTTGTGTTTGCTGAAAATCTGCGTCCGTTCAGACCAAAGTATTTCCTCAATGAATGAATGAACCTGTCAAATGCAGCCGGCAGGTTGCCGCACGACGATTGTTGTGCTCGCCTGGCAATTCTATCTTTTTTCTGATAAGGAGATTGTAGTTTGTATAATCTCACATTACACAAGTCCAATGTAAACTTGTGCCCTCACTGAGAGTTGGATTCACCAGTAAACATGTCTTACTCTCGTTAGTCGATAAACATGTGATGATACAAAAGGTTGTCAAACTCGGCCAGCGTTAATGAACTTTCACTTTGAGCCAATAGCCATGACTGGCGTTGGTATCAATGACACTGGGCACACATGCACAGTTACAGAGAACAGATCACCAATGAGGCCAATGTGCTCAGTGTCTTCTCAGTGAGAGTACATCGTCTTCAAGGGTCTCTCACTCATCCTCACCATCACTACTGCCACATCTCAATCGGCCGACCAATTGTCCTCCTCGCATGTGCATCCTCGCCACTAATCGCCAGATAACTGCTTCTGCTGCCGGCTTCTTTGCCCGACGGTGCAATTGACAAGTGTTAGACACTCCTCTTTTGCGTTGAATGGACGATAGCAATCTGTCCACTGGTGACCCTTCGGGACCGAGAGCGATGCTCGCAATGATTATTCCTCTTCCAATTAGTGCTTCTTAGCGCACTGCAGACATCAATCCGTCCATCTTTCTCCCGTGTGCGATTCGTTCACTTGTTTATTATTTTCTATTTTAGTTTAACCGATTTTAAAGAGACCCTGTTTTTCCGCCTGACTGTCGCCGTCAGCAACACTGCCCGAGGCATTCTCAGGTGCACATGAGAAGGTGCACTTTTTTTCTACAACTTTCATCTGCTGCGATACTGCCACAAACACACTTGACCAGTTGATTGAGTTGAACAGTATGCGTGACATGCCAAGCGATATGGTGAGCTTTGACGCAAAAAAAAACTAAAAATTTGTTTGATTTTCGTTGCGATAGTCAAAACACTGATATTAGCCTGTTTGCGTTTTTCAGCCTGAGTACTTTGTTATGAGATTACGCAAGAACATTCTCGAAAAAGTTAGAAAAACTAAAACAGCAAAACAGTACAGCGCCAGTTTAAAGGCTGCACAGGCAACTTCAGTATCTGCATCTCAATTTGTTTTCCGATTATTTCTATTCATTTCCTGACCAATCTTCGCAAACAAAAAACAACTTTGCATTTGGCAACAGCGTTTCGGCAGTTCTCTAGCTCATTTTGGCAGAACCACTACCTTCATCTTGCTCAATCAAAGCAGCGATTTTTAAATTATATAATCAGATTGCTATCCGATGATGAGATGAGATTGCTATTTTGAGCATTGAACGAAGAAGGGGGCTGAAAGAGGGTGTCAGCAGTTCTCGGCAAGTCAGCGTCGGTGCATATACTCAGGTAAGAAAGAGATTCAAAGAGGACTGTTGCACGTCACACTTATCGGCACTGTACATCGCTGCTTCTGCACTTCGACAGTGTCTGCCGACGGTCGATCCATCGACCACAATGTTACTCATTACCTGTTACTGCCTCTGTCGAACAGTTCGTGCACTACAGCACGAATTTGCTTAAGCACTAACTATCTCCGGCAATTGAACTTTACCAAGTGAATAGAGCTATTAAAAATAGTAAAAGTAGTTGAGCGCTGCGTTTGGCTGGTACGGGTGCAGCAGAATACACAATCCTGTCACCGCCATCTTGAGTGACAGTGCCTCTCTACAAAATACCCATTTAACTGCTTGACATTTTGACAGTAGTTAACAGTGCAGTCCAATTCTAGTCAAACTACCACTACCTTAGAAAAGTCGGGTGTCATACTCTCTTTCTCTAACCGAACTTTACTTTCACTTTCTCGTCGCTAGGTAGCCGTGCAAATAATTGCACGCGTCAAGGTTACCGACCGTCTGGCGCCATTAAAGTCGGCAGCAACGGTGTGTTATTAGTCAGAGTCTGTGTGTATGCCTCTCCTACTACTTCTTCTAGTTTTTTAGCGGCCTTCAATTCACCTAAGCAGGTAAATGTGTCAGTGGAAAATTTTGTTCACCCGTCATCATTTGAAATTGCAAATGGTCACAAACTGGACATGTTGAGGGACACGTGAACATTTTAACCGACAACATCCTCTTTAATTTTCAGAAGAATTTTCATATATCTAAGTTTATAGTTTTCATTGACGTAAATCGATTGCCTCTTACTACCCTTCTCAAAAGTGGGTGCACCGTTAAGTGTATTCTTCATTGCAAGTAGTGTTCCAATACCAGAGTCACAACTACCTGTACTCTATTCAATTGTAAGTGCACCAATGAATTTTCACTTTGGTGCAGTTTATTGATTGCTACAAAACACCATAAAACTTGAAAGTGTATAAAAACTGACAGTTTTAAAACACAAAAATGGAATTTGTATAATGTGATAAATTGAAAATCTCATGATCAGTTTTTACTTTGTCCAAGTTTTGTGAATCAGAAATAAAAACAAATTCAGCAAAAGAAATATTAAAATACAGCATTCTCATCTTATTGGCGCTATCGCAGATTGACTGACGCTGATTTGAGGGTCGGTTTAAACCGGAGCGGGGTAAACTAAACACCCAACTATACTGAATGAAAGGCATTTCACAGGCATGGCATGTCATCCAGTGACACTCAATCAGTTGGCTGTTTGGTTTTGACCGAACTCAACCGGTTACCAGAACAACAAAGATGAAAGAAAGTAGAAAATAAGGCTGTCATTTGACAGTTGTGTGTGTCTGCTCGGCTCAAGTGCGAGGTCAGTGGCAGAGTTCATAGTCACTCGAGTGGGCTCAGTCATGTGCCCGCTGTTGTTTAGTGTTCAAATTGCTCGTTCAATGCAGTTTAGTTTGCATCCTCGATAGATCAGTTTGCAGTTCATTCCAGTTTGTCCACCTAGCCACAGTCAGGCTAACCAGCCAGTGCTAACAGTGCACCTGTAAACAGTGCACTGTGCACAGACGCACAGATTTGTTTCCACATTGATGATCACTGCCGTACACGTGATCATACCGTGTTTAGAGAATGTGTGTGTGTGTGTTTTGACCACAACGCTGACATTTCTGTACGTCATTCAGAAGATTGCAAGATTGGTAGTTGTGCAATCATTTCCACTCGTTCAGAACTTTGTCATGCACCGACGGGACCTCCAGGATTACAATTAATTCGGTATCTTTGTTTTTGTTTTTCTCACTTGTTCAACTGATAATGGCAGGCTTACCATCAGTAATT